GGGGGGCGCCAATCCCTTTAAAAAGAACCTAATGAAAAACAGGCCGGGGGTGGGGGTGGGGTGCGGGGTGGCGCTGAGTAATCGTCGTTGCCTCCAAATAGCCAGGAATGAGTGGGGCTGGGGCCGAGAGCTCAGACGTTGCCTTAAAAGGAGAAGCAGCCGAGCGCCGTCCCAGGGCCGGGCTCCTGTGGAGCCGAGCCGCTGGGCACAGAGCACGCTGCCCCCTGGCTTGTGTGACGCGGACGCCAGGCCGGCTTCTGCTGCTGGAACTGGGGCTGCATCCTGGTGACCTCCGGGGGTGACTCTGTGTTCCTGTCTCTAGGCCCGTCGACGAAGACGGTTTACGTTGAGTTGAACTAGGGACCTCCATGGAGCAAAGGTCTGCAGGCCTCTGGATGAGACTAAGCGGAGTTACCTTCCTCCTCTGGGAAAAGCTTTCAGGTCAGGGGCGGCCACAGGCATGGTTAGGGACTTCCTCGTGGACGCAGGGGACTGGGAAGGGTGACCTCGGAAAATCTCTAAGGACCTGTGACAGTGGCAGGGACCTGCCGTGAGTCCAGGGTCAGGGTCAGGGTCAGGGTCAGGGAAGGAAGCAGATCCTGGCCCCCAGCTCCTCCAGGCCGTTTGGCCTCAGGACTTTGCTCTGTACCTTCACGTGGTCAGGATCCAGGTGACGCGTCTTTGGCTGGTGTGGACGGCAGGATGCAGTGTCTTTCCCCACCTTGGGCCCTGCACTACCCCCGGGAAGTCTCGTCTGATTGGACAGGGGAGAGCACTCCCCACTTCCACTGCCAAAGCAGGAGAGGAAAGGAAGTGCGTGCCTGTCAGGAAGTCCCTAAAAATGAAGGCCCCCTCCCCGCCTGGTGTGCTGCACTGAGCCCCCGGCCCAGCGGTGCCCTGCGAGCTCACGCTGACTGCCACCAGGTCCTCTCTGTCCTTCCTGTGACCCATCACCTGAGGAAGAGTAATCCTGGCCCAAGGCATCTGCAAGGAGGGGTCGCAGGCCCCCAGAGGGCAGGTGGAGCCTGGGAAACGCCTCAGAAGGGGAGGGAGTGCAGAACAGACCCGCTAGCCTAGGAGGGAGCGGAGCCGAGGGGGCGGAGCCAAGGGGCAGGGGTGGGCATGGCCTTGAGTTTAGGTGCATTTGCTCCTTCCCCACGGCAAGAGCAGGGTGATGCCCACCCAGATGGTTCCGTGTCCCCAGGGCTGCGTGGCGAGGCCCCTGAAGGTCTGTTTCCGGTGCATCCGGGCTGCGGGCAGGGACGTGGCTGCCAGAACTCTCTCCCCAGACTTCACTGAAGTTCTGGGGGCGCTGACAGCCTCAAGGGTGTGGAGCGGAGCCCCTTAGAAGACAGCATTTGCCCTTGGCCTTGGCTGGGGCTGCTTCTTGTGAGGATCCTCCCTGGTCAAGGTTCCATTTCCCGGGAAAGCATCAGGGGGCGTGTCCTGCTCCTGTGCTCAGAGCGCCCCCGCAAACACCTCTCCTTCCTGCCCTGCACCTGCACTCCGCGCCAGCCCCTCCGTGTCTCACAGCCCAGCTCGCGCCCCCCGCTTCTCCCCTGAAGCCGGCTGGCCGAGGGCTGGGGCCCTGGCCCCGCCTCTCTCCAGGCACCTGGTGACCTCTGATGTCAGGCACTGCAGCTGTCAGGGCCGTCTGTCTACAAGGGAGGGCAGGGAGGAGACGGCCATGGGCTGGGGGCGCCCGAAGTTCCCCTGGGAGGGCAGCTCCCTTACAGGGCTGGCGGGCATGAGGGCAGCACAGGGGCAGGGCCAGGGTTCACGGGGGCCCGGAGAGCTCACTCCCTCCAGCCTCCTGCTGCACGGAGGGCCAGCTCTGTCACTGTTTTCAACCAAGAAGAAAGAGTCTAGATTCTCCCCACAAGAACTTTCAGCAGAGTCCATTGCCTTTGGGGGAAAGCGGTATTCCTGGGGCTGGCAGTCCTGGGAGGGACGGCGGTGCCCGTTTCCCTTGGTGGTTCGCGGGCAGGAGCCTCTACTGAGGCTTAGGCCAGCTCGTTGGACTGAACTTCAGGTCTGTAACAACTGATCATCCCCTAGAAAGCTACCAGTTCCCTCCAGGGCTGTCAGGAAACTGGGATTGTTCGGGAAATTTTTGCCTATAGTTGCATGGGCGTTCATTGGCTTTGCAGGCAGCTTGCAGGAAACCGAGACCCAGAGGGTGGCTTGGAGCTGGGGGAGGGGGAGGGGCACGGAAGGAGTGGGCATAGGACTTTGACACCCCTTGGTTAACATTCCCGGAAACATACTTTTTGGGGGTGTTCAGGGCTCATACAGACATTCAGCTCCTGCCCATAACTGGTGTCTGGTTAGTCCCCTGAGAACGGGGGCTGGGAGTGGAATTCCCATTGCTGGGCTGGGGTCTGGGCCCCTCACTGTGAGGGCAGCACCGTGGCTTCTTGCACTCTCTGAGGCCCAGGACGCTGCTCCCAGCTCTGCAGCTCCCAGCACAAGGCCTGCAAGTGGTCAGTGCCTGTCGGGACGACGGCCATGCCAGCGGAGGACACGCTCAGGGCCCTCCGTGCTCCAAGTCTGGAGCCCCGTGGGTGGATAGGGTTAGCGTCAGTCCGCACCCGCGAACACAACAAGCTGTGCTGCAGGCTGTACCCCTCGACCCCCAAAAGAAAGCCTCCTGCCTGCTCAGGACCCCCCGGGGACGTGT